GGGGAAGTTCTGAGGAAGAGCCATTTGCTCCCTGTGGAGTATCCAGTGCACCTTTGAGGTTTGGACCATACACTTAGAGTAATCCCCATTATCTCTGCTGTGCAATTATCTCAGTATTAATCTGCTTGGGTGCAGGTAGGAGTTGGTTGAAAGGTTCAGCCAGACCCAGCGAGTGTGAGGGTTTCAGTAAGAGTAGATTTTGTATGGCACAGGCACTGGGCAAGACACGGCTATTCCACCCTACTCTTGTGGAAGAGATAGATAGGTCTGATATGTTCATACCAATGTATACTTATGCACATGTGGACATCACGCATGCATTGTATGTAACCAGCAGCACTGTTAGTACCCCACGCGGGGTCCCTTGAGCCTGATCATTGCGCTCTTCCTGGCCGATTTCCAGGGCCAACAGCTGCATCTTTTTGCCTGAGAGAAGTACCAGAGAGCAGAAGTACCAGAGAGTTAGCACCCGAGAGCAGAATTCCACCAGTAACTAAGAGGAACTGGTGTAGAGATGCCTGGGGGTGAGGATGGTCCTGAGGTGTGTTTTCCACTCAGGCTCCGCAACACAATTCCACAGTGCTTTCTTTATGGGCTGCCTTCCTTTCCTGGCCTCACCTTTCCACTCCCTTGCTGGATGTTTTTCTAGGCTCGCCTTCCAAATAAACGACTTGCTTTCAAATCCTTGCTTCAGGTTCTTCTGGGGGAACCCAAATAGGAGTGTGTATGTATAATAACACACCGGGAGGCAGCCTGGAGAAATGCTATTTGGGGGCGGGTCTCTGCCCCAGGGGTGTGTGGCAGTGGGTGTGGCCAGGGAAACAGCAGATCTATGATTTGAGATCTAAAGGAGGAGCGCCGTGGAAGGGTCGTTGCGCATTTGGGAGTATGAAAGGCCATGGTGGCTGCACCAGAGGACCCGGAGCACGATGTGGAGCTTAAGACCTGCAGGGTCTTGTAGGGTACGGGAGGAGTTCGGCATGACGTATTCAAAGCACACTGAAAAGCCATGAAGGAGGCCACTGCAGGTCAGTGACAGAATTAGACCTGCCCCTAACAACCAGCGAAGGACAAGAGAGCCCAGGTGGGAGGGTGGAGTTCTGTACCGTCTGCAGCGACCCAGATCGTTGTGCGGAACTTTGCGTGTTGAGGAGCCCCGGCAAATGTTTGTTGGAGTGGAAGAGAATTATTAACTATGTATTCTATTGACCGGAACAACCTATTTCCTGAGCACAGCAAATAAAGCTTTCTCTTCATTCATGCTGCCTTTTCCCCCGGGGCTGCTTCACTTAACTTTATCAGCCTTTCTCTCTGAGGTAGCGTCAACAGGCTAATCCCACTCTTTTCCTGTTCCCCCATCCCTCTTCCTCTCTCCTTTCCTTCCCCTTCTTCCTCCGCCTTTTCTTCTTCTTTGCTCCTCCTTCCCTCCCACACCCCCCCTTCCTCCAAATAATCCCGTTTAATAAAATCAATTATTTCCTCACTACAGTCTCCATTTCTATTAATGATGACATTTAATTCTTATCTGTGGCTATTTTAAGTCTGCAGGTGTCACTAGGGGAAACAGAATTGTGCTTTGTGAAGATCACTTTAAAGTGGATCTTTAGTCAAACACCTTCAAAATGCAAAAAAGAAAAACGTTTCCAAGCCTGTTGACCCCTTTGACAATAGTGCCACATGGATATCCAACATGCAGTTATTCATTTTATGGGGAAAATTCCATCCCAAAGGCAATTTACACCAAAAATTGTGTGTATGGGTGCATACAATTCACATCTTAAATCAAGAGGCATCGAATATATTTTCAAAAGATGAAAAAGTGGAGACTTCGCATTCAGAGATGACATAAACCTGATCTCCAGTGTGGTCTCGTGTGTGGCCATGGTCAATAAATTACTGCAGAACCCACCAGCACTATAGAATAACATACATCAGTCAGCAAGATTAGATTTATGTCACTGTAGAAAGTAAAGCAAGACAGAAGACCGGGAAGGCTAAAATCCAGCCTATAAATTATTCTGAAAGACTGTTGTAAATAGTCACAATTGTACCCTTTTCCCTCTTGTACTCCTTTTTATAAAAATCTTGAAATCCTTCATCCCCTTCTTCCACCCAGCAATTAAAGAAGAAAAGACACTGGATGTCTAAGATTTCACACAACCTTTTACACCCAATATTTTCATTGTCTTAACAAACAAATCTTGGGTAGTCACCGAGGGTTATGTTTTGCGACTCCCGGGGTGGTGAAGACCTGCTCATCAGGGTTTCCATTTTCGCCTTGGTGTCCTCCCTTGGCATATTCACCCGTCACCCTGTGCCCCTCACCCTGTGTTCTGGCAGGATTTGAGACATGCAAATTGCAAACTGGTAAATAGCAACTTTGCATATTTTGAATAGAAGAGAACAACGTGGTACCACTTAGTCTGTTCTCAGGGAAATTTGAGATAATAGTGAACGAGAGCAAGGGCAGATCGAAGGTCCTAAGTATTTTCTTCAAAGTGTTTATTATGCTTATTAAATCTATTGTATACTGATGAATTAATTTGAATTATTTACATGGTCAACCTTTGAGACAATAACCTGATTTAATCACAGCATGCAAATGTATCATTTCTCTTTGGAATCTAAAAACAGGGTTAAGTTGGAAGCATCCAGACTGTATCATACTGGTTATAAACCTGCCCTTGTCAAGCTAAATGACATAATGTCAGAAATCAAGAGGATGTGGTGGAGGATTTCTTAGGGAAGTTGATAAACTTCCTTGTGAAAGCATGCCCTGGAACAGTCAATTCTTGGATGACAAATTTCTTGTTTCCTTTTGGGTACGGGGGATCGAACTTGGCACCTTGCACTTACAAGGCAGGCATCAGAACCACTGAGCTAAATCCCCTGCTGGACAAATTTCTTAAGCAAAAGCCTTTAAAGGTCTGTTTATCTGTAAATATCACACAATGTCTGACACAGAGGGGTGTTCATCTTCTAAAATTTCAGTGTAGAGGAAAAGGGACATGAGAGCAATGATTGGTTTTCATTAGATTATGGGGCCGCTGTCATTTCAGTGAATGCACTGGTAAGAATTCTTTAAGGTTTCTGTCAAGTTAAAAGTGACACACATGATTCAATTACTTTTCAACCCAAGTTTCCATTGGGTCTTGGAAAAAAATTGGAGATTGTTTTCCATACCTCTTACTTGGGTTTTTGAATTTTTCATGGTGTTTGGATATTCATAAGGAATTTTTTGGAAAGGTAAAATCTTGTGTATTTATAAAAAGAGAAGGTGCACAAGTGATTCTGAAAGTGGAGCCTTTTGGAGGTAAAGTGAACAGCTTGCATCCTGAATATTTTATGAGATCTAGGTATTAGAGCAATGTTTCTGAAGCAGGGATACAGCAATCTAGGAACAAAAGGGAGATAGGGCTAGGGAACAGATTGTGAAATTACTTAAAAATATTAAGTGATCCTTAGACTGGACACAGGAGTGGATGACATTACTGAAGATTATTCTTAATAAGGTCTCTAAAAGTGTAATGATTTATTGATTGGATCTGTACTAATGATGCGCCCCTGATTATGCATGTGTAAATAAATAAAAGGGCTGATTTATGAGGCTACAATCAGATCTTTCAGATATATTTGGTCCATGTCTACATACTGAAAATAAATGGAGGCAATTATCTGAGTATATCAAGGAAGGGACCCCCCCTTCCCCCGGCACACACTGATTTAGAGGTTTGTGGTCTACTATATTAGGTGAAAGGGGGGCGGGAATAAAATTCTAAAAAGAAGCAAAGGGGAAGGGCAAGTCTAAAAAAACAGTTGTGTTGAGAAATATGCTCTGCTTCTCTCACCCAGAGAAAAATAGATTCCCAGGTGCTACCAGGGAGAAGTCTTTTCCTTAAAAAAAAAAGAAAGAAAGAAAGAAAGAAAAAGACAAAAAGACAACATTATAAGAAATTGTCCTGTTAAAGCAAGTACACACGGAGTCTGTGTAAGGAAATCAGCCTTTTCATTACAAATAGGTTTAAAAAGCTCTAGAGAAGAGAGATGTGAACAGAAGCAATATTATCCACCAACAACCTAACTCCCTTTCAGATATCAGCCCAGAGAAACTCAGCAGCATCATTAAACAGGGCATTTGTCTCAAGATAAAGACTCATCTTTATTTCTTTTAAGGATATAAAACTTGTATTTAAATCAATTCAGAGAAGCGCTTTGGCTTTAAACATCAGCGAGTAGGGAAAGCCTATTTAATGAAACAGCATTATTTCATTTTCAAAGAATGATGCTGGCAGTAGCTTTGAGTTTAAATTCTGTATTCTCTTCCTCAGTTATAATTATAGATGGGTCTGAAAGGAAGCATGCCTATTACTGTCATATTTATTCTTTTGACAGGTGTTATGGAACTGTAATTTGATGAAATGACTCAAAAGGCAGATTCTCTTCCAAACATAATTCCTGTCACCAACGCTAGAGATTTAGGAAAAGTCCTCTAGCAAGCTTTTTCATAGATCTTGAACACCCTAGTATTTTAACAATATTCCTAGTGGGAAATAAGACGGAGCTTGTCTTTAGGGTTCATGCCTGGGTAGCAAGAGCCGAACAGGCAAATACACTAAGGCTGTTCTTGGGTGGGGTCAGATCGGGGAGTCGGAACCTAGTAGGACCGCGAGTCTCGCGCGCAGCCGGCAGAGGGCGCTCGGCACGCTCTGGC